GGAGCCCGATGCGGGGCTTGATCCCAGGACCCTGGGATCATGACCTGAGCCGAAGGCAGACGCCCAACCGACTGAGCCACCCAGGCGCCCCATAAATAAATCTTTTTAAAAATGTATTTGAGAGAGAGAGAGTGTCTGCCTGAGTTGGGGCAGGGGGAGAATTTCAAGCAAACTCCCCGCTGAGTGCAGAGTACAATTCGGGGCTTGATCCCACGACCCCAAGATCATGACCCGAGCTGAAATCAAGAGTCAGAGGCCTAACTGAGCCACCCAGGCGCCACCCCGCCGCCCCGCCGCCTTTTTAAATGTATTCTTTAAGTGAGGTCACCTGTTCATTTGGTTGTGTGATCTCATAGGTAAAACTATGTGGCTCTTTACTGGTTTGTCAGATCCTTGAAAGCAGGGATTTGTATCTTGTTTTTTCTCCATTGTTTAGCTTACTGGGTAATCAGGAAATATTTGTTGGATCAAATGTAGTTATTTGGTACTCTGTTGTTATTGACAGAATATAAAATATAGGCCCTGGCCACTTTGATTTCAAGATCTTAGGGATTTTAACAGTTGTTAAAATCATTAATGTTAGTCTTGGCAATTTCCAGTTTAAGCAATTACATATGGGTTGATTAAAGAAGAATCTGTAATTTAGTTGGAAAATACGCTTTTTCTTATTTTAGCTAAAGGAAAATTAGATAATATGGAAAACCAAAATTACATATAATTTTTATTTTATGTTTTTCTACATATTCGCTTATATTATCAAATATTTGAAATATATTGGCATAAAGTTCAGTCTCTTAATATGATTTTGATATATGTGACATCTTTACTTATGTTTCCCTTTTGTTCTTTTTTATTTTTTTAAAGATTTTATTTATTTATATGAGAGAGAGAGCACATGAGAGGGGGGAGGGTCAGAGGGAGAAGCAGACTCCCCACTGAGCAGGGAACCCGATGCACGACTTAATCCTGGGACTCTAGGATCGTGACCTGAGCCGAAGGCAGTTGCTTAACCAACTGAGCCACCCGGGCGCCCTCCCATTTGTTCTTAATATTAGTTCTCTGTGCCATTTCTCTTTTTCCTTGATCAGTCTCATCAGAGGCTTATTTGTTTTACTTGTCTTTTCAGAAACTAGCCTTTGTTTTTGTTGATTCTTTGTGGTTTATTTTTGTTTTCTATTTCATTAATTTATAGTCTTTATGATTTCCTTTCTTATTCTTTATTTTTGCTTTGTTCTGTTTACTGACTTTTAAAAATGTACTTAGCTCATTAATTTTTATATTAGTTTTAAGCCTTTTTTTCTTTCTTTTTTTTTTTAAGATTTTATTTATTTATTTGACAGGGAACACAAGCAGGGGGAGTGGGAGAGGGAGAAGCAGGCTTCCCGC